GTGAGGGTCTTGGATAGGCGGAACCAAGTTTTGCGAGGCAAGACAATTCCCTTGGTCAAGGTACTGTAGAAACATCACGGGGTCGAGGAAACGACTTGGGAGCGCGAGTTTGAAGTCCGAGAGAAATACCCGGACTTGTTTGTTGATGTTTAATTTCATATTGAGATTTCGATCATGACGATGAGAATTATATACATTGTATATGTTAAGAAATTTTGAGAACATTGCATATGTTATGGGCATTTTGGAAACATGGATTCTCTATAAGCATTGTATATGTTTTGAGAATGTGGAATATCTTATGTGTTGTGTCACTTTTGGAAGCATTGTATATGCCATGTGAAATTTTGAAAATTTGAATTTTGATTTAAACAATGCAAATATTTGGGAAATTGTAAAATGTATCTTCAATGTGGACCTTGTGTATCGAGTTCATGGGTATGGATGACCGGAGAATGGGTCATAGTGATGGACTTGTGAGAATAACATTGTTGTGAATGGTTTAATTATGTTATGAGCTTGATTTGTAATTTCGGGGACGAAATTCTTTAAAGGGGGGAGGTTATAGAGATTATGGTTTTTAACCCGTCTCTTGTGGTATTCTGAACTCAGGTTGTATGGGTTTGAAAGATTATTCATGTCTTGTTTCCCTTGTCTCCCCTCTATTTTTAGTTATCAGATTGTAATTGTGCATTTGAAACAGGTTCATTGCTTTCTTTTAAAAACTTGTGTTGTCCAGATTTTGGCCTCTCCGCTCGAGCGGGCTTCACAAATTTTGCTCCTCCACTCAAGCGGCCATTCCCGCGCTGGAGCGGAGTTCTTCAACTCTCAACATTTTTTTTTAGGTCTGCAGATGCTAGAGAGTGCATTCGACGCTCGAGCATCCAGCTTCACATTCGAGCAGGAGTCTGTGTCTGACGCTCGAGCGGGGATTCTCACGCTCGAGCGAGGACCTTCATCTGCAGAACTTCTGGAAGTGTGTATTTCTCGCTCGAGCGACGCTTTTCACGCTCGAGCGAACTTCTGTGTCTGACGCTCGAGCGTCACTTCCCACGCTCGAGCGGATTGCGTATATAACAGTCAGAGAAGATGACATTTTGAATCACTTTTTCTTTTCTCTCCCTCTAAAACTTTCCAAAAAGCTTGTTCTTGAGCCTCTCTCTCTAGAATCCACCTTCTCTCTAGGATTTCATCTAGATCCATTAGGATTTCCCCCATAGTGCATTTGAGAAAGAAGTAGAGCTCGTCAAGATCTTTGTTTTGAACCGAGTAGAAATGTGTTTCGGCATTCTTGCAACTCCACACTTGCTTGACTCGTCTTCTCTCTTTGAGGTAGGGATCTTTCTACACCTTCATATGATATTTGGCAGGTGAAATTAATGTTTGTGGAGTTTGAAAATGATGTTGTGCTATATCTAATTTGATGATTTTGACACTTAATTAATATTTGGGAAAAAAAGGGAGAGGCGGGGGAATTTGCCCTAATTGAAATTAAACTATTATTTTGTACAAAAATTGGAATTGGCATTAGAAAGGTGAAATTGATAAGGTGTTGATATAAATGGTGGAATTGGTTATGTATTAACTTATCCTTTTGGAAGTCTTGAAGAAACTATCTGTTGAGATTGAATATCTGTTTAAAAATATCTATATTGGACTATCAGTGGATGATAACTTTGATTATTGTAGAAATTGCATGTGGATTAGGTAAATTGAAACTAATCTTTTGATGGTTTTCATTGAATATGACCGTGGTTATATACATTGTATATGTATGTTTGTTTGGAAGTAGAAAGGGGATGTGATTCATTCTTGATTATCTTTTTAAATACATTGCATATGTATGGATATTTGTTTGGGAGAAAAAAGGGCTTAGACTCCACTATAATTAAGTTGGCCGGAGTGTCTTAGGTGAAAGTCCCGAAATTATACATAGATGCCTAGCCCGCAGACGAAATATCCGTAAAATAGCAATTGTAGCGCTTGTATAGCCTACGTTTACATGGGTCCCGTTTGACGGCTGCCCGCGGACAAAATATCCATGAAATGGAAGTTTGAAGTGTTTATGCATATTTGTTGTATGGTTTGAAAATGAGTGAGTTGAAATCTCAGTTCAGTTGTTGAGAAATAACGAAATTGACTCATGAATGGAGAAAAATAAGTGAACGGAATAAGAATTAAAAGTGAATGCATCAAGACTTGAAATTAATATTTTATGAGTATATGTGAGTATATGTATAATAGTGAAAAGTTCTGACACAAACATTGTTTATGTACTTGTACTTATACCTTTGCTAAGTTTCATATACCGTGTTAGATGATTTCTACTGGACTGTGGCTCAGCCTACTTGGGAATAACATTTTCAAGTGTTGGTGATTTACCTCCACCAAGGAAATAGCATTAGAAGAACCTTTGGGAAGCCAGAGCTTCATGTTTTGTTTCTCTTGTATAGCCTAGGACTAATTTTGTACTGAGCGAAACTCATTTTGTTGTAACCAAGTCGAGGCTGCGAAAGGTGTAAGCCATTAAGGCATCTATTTTTTTGAACTCTTTTGTATCATCAACTTTTATTGTAATGAAATGAATATTTACTCCGATTTATGCTATCATTTACATATGTCTGTGGATGTATTTATGTTGTTGTTTTGGGGGCGTGACAAGACTGATTTGGCCCAAATAGATCGTAAGATCTGGATTAGGATTCCAATAGCCGTGGTACAGGGGTTCCAATATGAAAACTCATAACCTAGGCACAACTGTCACTTAAAACCTAGATGCTCAAGACTATGGATTTATATTATCTGATTGTCACAATTGTTTTTCTCTAGGTTTCTATCATTATAGATATTATAGCTTTATTTACAAGAACGATGTATTGAAGCATTGCAAAATTAACTTTTCATATGAGTGAGATAATTTGTAAGGGAAGGCATCAAAAGGGAATGTTGCCCAGTCACAAAAAGATTAAACCATGTTAACCTAAAGCTTTCAAAACAAAAGGCCAAAACATGAGCATCGAGTAACAAAATTCAATACTTCAATTTAAGAAAACTTGTGGAAGTTGCTCCCATTAGCTTTTGATTGATTTTCGAGGTTTTGGCCATAAAAAGAAGGCACAAGTGTTGTGGGACTGCTTCTTTTGTGCAATTTTTTGGATTATTTGGTTCGAGTGAAATGCTAGAATTAATTAGGACAAGACAAAGGATGTTAATGCCTTATGGGAGTCTATCGTCTTTTGGGGGCTCTATCTGTTGAAAATCTATGTCAACTTTTTTGTTTTTCTGTTACAATCATCATCATCAACATCAATTTTTTTTCCAGATCTGTCTCATACATACATACACTCACAGATATACATATACTTACAGATATATATACACTTAAGATATACATAGATACACACACTAACAAATATATATACACTCAAGATATACATAGATACACACACTCATAGAGATACATACACTCACAGACATACATACATACATATGTTTAAACTCTATCTGTCAATATATATTTTTTTTTTCAATCTATTTCATCATCATTATCATCATCATCATCATCATCAACAACAACAATAATAATAAGGATGTATTGAACAGATAAAAAAAAAATGCAACAAATCTATTCATTTTTTTTTTCCACATTTCTGGTAGCAAAAACCTATTGAATAAAACATCGTTGTGTAAGCAATAACACAAAATGCTAAGGATCACTATAGTGAGCAATCAAAAAAGATTAACAAAACTAACTTACCATAGCATCTTTAGTTGTCATCACAAGAAAGAAGCGCATTGCCTCTCTTTTTCGAACTCTTGATTACAACATCATCAACTTCACCAAACTTCTCAAACAACTTCCTTAAACTTTCAGCATTGTAATCCTCACCAATTCTCTCCCATGATACCTTGAACACCTTCTCATTTTCTTACTCACTCCCAACCTTTGCTCAAATTTTGCCAACTTCTTTTCTAAATTTCTTATAAATTCTCTTATCTTTTTGCTCAAATTTTACCTTCTTTTCTAAATTTCTTATAAATTCTCTCATCTTTTTCAAAAATAGAGAGATTTGAGGTAGAAGAAGAGGAAGAGCTACGATGGACAGATACACTCAGATCGACAGCGCAAGAATGGTGGTGGTGGTGGTTGGCCACTACTCAGATCTCATCTTTCTCTCTCTTTCTCAAACGCCGCCACTTGTGGAGGTTCTCAGGCGGCTGGATCTCAAATCCGCGTCTGAGAGTAGATGTAGTAGTCTGGACAAGAACCACGGCAACGTCGAGAGAATGAAACTCTAAAGATGAGGCATGAAGATAAGAGAGAGAAAAAGAAGAGAGATCTCATAGTGACCAAATGATCTTATCGCGCTTTCCAATTTTGTCAATCGTCCCTGTCGAGATAGCAGAGCTGTTGACGACGATGGCGAGAAGACATAAGGGAGAGAGAGAGAGAGAGAGAGAGAAAGAGAGATGAGAAAGGAAATCACAGGGTAGCAACGACCGGAGACAAAGCGACGACTGTTTGATGTAAAATTTAGAAAGAGAAATGAGCAGGAGAGAGAAAAGAAGCATGATTTTGTGTTTGCACAATGCATATTGCGTATATATACAGCGAGGCTATTTTGGTCATTTAACATAAACTTGTACTTATGGACAAGTTAATTCAACAACAAAATCCAAAATTGAATTTTTGGCCCAAGCATCCATTCTAATAAGGTTCAATGTAATTTCTAAAATCTCAAAGTAAAAAACTAAAAGAGTATTGGAAGTTATTCTCCAATTTTTTTTTTAAATTCTTAGAATATAATTTTTTGGAATTCTAAACTAAACAAATAATCTTGTTCTACGATACAACAAACATAGGCTTGCGGACAATCTCTTAACATTGGCTAATAAGATCCTAGTTTTTTGAAGTTAATAATTAGCTATGACCTTACCTTCCAAATATAAAAACCATTACATTTGATTGTTTTTAAATTTTGGTTATTATTAACTGATTTTGGTAACAAATAACCAAAAACACTTGATAACAAACATTAAATAATTATTTACACTTTTTTATGAAAGTATGTCATAAAACATTTAAAATAATTACACAGCAAAATAATTAGTTGGGAACGGTTTATAATTATAATTAGTTATTCACAACCATAAAGTTTTCAGCTACATTAGTTGACAACTACATGAACTATGCCAGATAGTATTCCAAAACTACTAAATAACTAATATCAATCAAAGAGTTCTTGTAATCAACGTGACTGGTCCCCAAGTTGCTCCTCAACTGCATGAACCAAAAAACATTATAGTACTAGTAGGTCATGTTTGATTTACAAGACTAATAGTATTAAATTAGTGTGGTATTCACTATCTCACCCCTACCCTATTACTAATAATCTTACAAATTTATTAGATTAATTATCCATTGGATTAATAATCCTAAACCAAAATGTCAAAACAAACATAGAATAATTAGACTCACGGATTAATAATCCATATCACATGCTCTAATCCTTCCAATCAAACATGCTAGTAGAGTTTTGTGTGCAAGGGTGTGCGCATTTGGAACAGTTGTTGAGAGAGAGAGAGAGAGAGAGGGGGGGGAGGAGGGAGGGAGGGAGAGAGGGTGTAACAGTTTTTGGTTGATGGATTTTACATTTTGGCCTTACAGTAACTGCTAATTAGAAAAAAAATATTTGAGAAAAATACAGTATTGATGGGACTTTTGGAAAAACAAAATTGTGTGATTTACACTAGTTGTATGCCACTAGGTGAGTTGTACGTTTTATGATAGAAATAGATGAGTACCCAACACAGTACACCCCCATTATAACCCAGTAATAAAAACAATTAAACCCCTAAACCACATTTCTTTTCCTTCATAGGTTCTACAACAAGAACAATACCAAAACATATAAATGTAATTATGTTAAAATATGTGGAGACAAGGCTTGTATATTTATATGTTCTCGTATTGTTCCTTTTGTAGAACCTATGAAGGAAAAGAAAGGTGGTTTAGGGGTTTAATTGTTTTAATACGACGATTAAAGTGATCAAAACTAATCAATGATAAAATATACATTTCAGTGTGAAAATATGATTACATTATATTTCCCTCCAAAAGACTGATAAATAACTAACAAAAGTTTAATGGGTAACACAATGATATTATTTACCACAAAAAAAAAAAAAAGAGTATTTTCTATAAATTAAACCTACCATTATAAAATGAAAGATTTATTGGTTCCGAAATCTAATAATCAAGCACATTAATAGGTTCACCAAAAACAATAATATGTGCACCAAAAGTTAACAAGGATAAGTGAAATGAATACTCATTTTATGATTATAGAAAAAATTATATTGTTTGAAATAATTAAATGGAAAATTTAAGGAAGAACCCAACCAAAGGCAACAAAAGAACTGTCGAAAGACAATTGTTAACATTTTTCAAATTTCTTAACAAACAATGATCGATGGGACATAAGGCTAGGCTTGGTTTGGTTTGGTTTGGTTTGGTTTGATTTATCAACAACAAACAATGATCCATTATTTTCATTGGATATTGGCAGGCGACAGTTTTAGCATCCTCATTTGAAGGGGAAAATCGCATATTCCGATAAACAAAAAGATATTTTTTGATAAGACTGTCTAGACTTACTTTTACCATTACACTTCTGATTAGATGCCCGTAAAGTCTGCAAAAACTCTTCTGCAAGAGTGACATCAAGAAATAGCATAATTTAAATTCAAACAAAAAAAGATGATGTCAGAGAGAGAGAGAGAGAGAGAGTAAAAAGCAATTATTACTCTTAACAAACAAGAGATAAGGTGAAGTTTCCATTCCAACCCCAAAAAATGTTTCAGTGTTCACATCCGAAGCTTGCCCATAAGCCCCCCAATTATAGACTCCAATATTGAGAAGAGAAGAATAGGCAATCCTTCCTTGAACGCCAAAATATTCAAAAAAATCTCAAGAACAATGAACGGAGGAGATGATGTGGGTTCAGGATGACCAATCCAAAATGGTTCACCCAACCACAATGCCATTCCAATCAAAGGCTGAATTAGACACAACATTCATTTCTAATAAATTATAGAACCCAGTCTCATCCTTTTAAGCATAAAGACAATATGACGGCCCAGGTACTACTGGATAGAAATGCTAAAAGTATTAAAAGAGGGAAATAATGAAAAACAATACCAGATCAAGGTGTAACAAAATTATATTAATGTAGTCCCTTAAAAAAGAACTATCAACACAGAATTGAACCATTGTTTACTCTGCAGATTTTCTCTGCCAATCTACATTATCCCTAATGCTAATCCCCGATAAGTGTGCTGAGATTGTTTCCCTGATATCGGTTCCAGCCTCCAAGTCTACTTTTACGCCCTTCTTAAGCCAAGTGATTAATTATGTTGAGTGTACCAGCAAAATGAGGCTATGTAAATAATTATCATATTATTCAACAGCTTTTTGCAAAAAAAAATTCCTAAAAATAACAATAAATTTCAAGTACATAAACTGTTTAGTGATGTTTGTCTATACTATGCTAAGCACCCATGTGGCATTGAAATTACAGAGCGCTCTCTAATTTTCAAAACTGTGTAATTGAATTCTTTGGTTCCTATAAAGCGACAAACAGACTTGGATTTAAACTTAGTACCGAAAAAGATGTTTCACATGTAAAGGTGCCAACACACTTTTTGCATAAGTAGAAAGTTGGGAATACTTTAAGACAGAGTAAGCCACTTTGTGAAACATATTATTGGAAAGGTCTCCTGAATAATCTACTATGCAACTATAGAAAGAGAGGGAAATAGAGATTTGTTTTTTCAGCTAGTTAGTTTTCCTAATTACTTTAATATTTGAATTTCTATTTTCCTAGTTTGTTTTCCTTAGCATATATTAATTGATATGACTTACTTTATTGATTTGGAACACAGAAAATTGGTATTTAGGCAACAAACATAAAATTTACCATAAAATAGCCCAACCAATACAAAACAGTGCTTCCAAATTGGATCAGTACGATCAGATCTAGATTCAGGTTCCGCTATCCTATAATTAGGATCGAAAGGTCCCTACTTACGTGGGATTTTTTACAGACCAATTTGGCCCAAATGGATCGTAAGATCTGGATTAGGATTCTAATAGCTATGGTGAGGGGTTTCCCAAATGAAACCGCGTAACCTAGGCACAACTATTACTTAAAAAGGAATGGATAATTAACTTATCAGTAAGAAAATTCAAAATGGAAGGCATCAAAAGGGGATGTAGCCCTCTCACAAAAAGATTAAACCATGTTAACCTAAAGTTCACAAGCATCGAGTAATAAAATTCAATACTTCAATTTAAGAAAGCCTTATGGAAGTGCCTCCCATTAGCTTTTGATTGATTTTCGAGGTTTTGGCTGTTAAAAAAAAGGTAATAAGTGTTGTGGGACAGCTTCTTTTGTGCAATTCTTTGGGTTATTTGGTTGGAGTGAAATGCTAGAATTTATTAGGACAAGACAAAGAATGTTAATGTGTGGGAGAGTCTACCGTTTTTTTGCGCCTCGGTTTAGTCTCATACCATCTTCGAATTAAAGCACTGTTTACTTTTCTTCTCATTTTTGGAGGACTTCATAACCTTCGGCTCTCTAGTAACCCTTTCTGTTTTAAAATTATCCACTTCTTGTTGCAAATCAAAAACATAATAATAAAATGTAAAATCAACCTGAATAATAAATTTTATTTCCTTCAAGTGTGGCTTTTATATTTATAGGAAAAAACTAATTCCAAAAAACAAACATGATATATTCAACAATATGTGAGGATCCAACACAACAGAGAAACTAGTACTCACCCTTGTTGAAGTCGGGACAACCTTCAGGCCTCTGTTCCAAATACACATCACAATGGCTCAATTTATTGGTCTTGCACTGCCCAGTAGAAAAAAAGAAAAATATACCTCATAAGTAAGACTTATCATTCAACCATGCCTACTAATCTGGATACAAAATAATCTCTCACAAAAAAAATCAGTAAGAACATTACTTCCCACTGAGCACTACCAATCCTTCAAAAAACTGGCAATACGTTATATATCATTTGTTTAACTATTTTAAATGCTTCTATAAAATGGAAAAAGTGTACCACTTTGTAGAGCCCCACAAGACGCTCGCATTCTTCACGCTTCGTTAACAGTTCATAATCATAGTTTTCACCAAAAAGCTTGAAGAAGCTTATGACTGCAGTCTCGAACCAATCTTTTGCAGGTACATGGAAAATGAAAGAAAGTGTCAATTGAGCTAGTGTCTTTACTTCCCTCAACAGTGAACACTAACTTCTGAAAAACTTACGTCTGCTAGATTATTGGTCAAACAACTATTCAAAGCCAATTTATTGATTATTTGTTAATTTTATTAATTTTTCTGATTGCTTTAGATAGTTATTATGAAGTAAAAGTAAAATTTAACCAAACCAAACCTCCAAGTTGTCCAATTTCCGTGCAGAGTGGTCCTATACCCCATTTAATTACAATAATAATCAAACTAAAAAGTTTAACTCCTGCTTCCATCAAGGGTATTTTTTCATTCAAATTTTGCCATAAGGAGTTGTTTTTACAAGTAACATAGATGAATGTGCAGTGGAAGAAATAATACCAATTAGTCAAGGACTCAAAATAAGATATAGAATAGAAGAGTTCAATAAAATAAATTGATATGAAAATATGGTAGATATACTTACCATAATCCCTCCTGGAACTTGAAGAAGTCCCAAAAGACGTTCCTGCCAATTGACACAAACCAAATCAAACAATTATAGAAATAAATGAAAATCAACAACCATATAAATTAGTCCCCAATATATATAATGCTTGCATTTGAGCCCACGTGATGCGGGTGCTATTATTTTTTGAAATCGAGAAGAGATTTGATGGTTGACACTGTAAAGAGTTTCTATTTTGAACATGGGTATTGGCTTGCAATTACATAATTGTCCCTTTCTGTGGTAAAGAAACACAAACAAAAAAACTATCTCATGCATGGGTGTTTTGGGGGAAAAATTCGTTGTGACACTTCACCAAGTGTGTTCACATATAATAATAGTATAGATATTCATCCTTCAATCTCATTGCCGATAATACATAATGAAGTTCAGGGGAGTTTTATACTATTAGGGTTAGGGGCACCAGTGACGTGGATGAAAGATGTGGAGCTCATATGGCTCTGATAAGTGATGGAACAGTTTATGCACAAGTAGGAAAGGGCAAGGGCTTCTGGCAAAGGTATGTTTGGCTGAGATATATATATATATATATATAAACAAACACAGATTTTATGATAAGAATGTTAAGACTTTTACCATGACTCTTCGGTTTAGGAGCTCGTAAAGTCTGCAAAAACTCTTCTGCAAAAGTGACTCCAAGAAACAGCATAATTTAAATTCAAATAAATAACAGATGAAATCAGAGAGAGAGAAAGAGATAATAAAAAACAATTATTAGCCTTCAAACTGCCCCAAAGTGAAATAATAAGCAGCAAAATCCTTGACTGAGACTAAGGCCAAGTTTGGCATCCTCCAAAAAATCCAAAAAGTCAAAAAGTCACTATCCTATTTAAGTAACATCATCTTATTTAAGTCACATCACCTCTCTAACACATCACGTCAAACCCAACCCAAATCCAACCCATATTTTATAAAAAGTCAAAAAGTGCACTTATTTAGTTTTCCCAAACTTGGCCTAAGTTTGGCATATTTAAAAAAAGCCAAAAAATCAAAAAGTCACTATCATGTTTAAGTCGCATCATCTTATTTAAGTCACATCATCTTATTTAAGTCACATCACCTCTCTAACACATCACTTCAAACCCAACTCATATTTCATAAAAAGTCAAAAAGTACACTTATTTAGAACATCCCAAACAATCCCTAAGCCTCATTGAAGTTCACTGTAGACAACAAATAAGAGATGAGGTGAAGTTTCCATTCCATCCCCAAAAAAGTTTCAGTGTATACATCCGAAGCTTGGCCATAAGCCCAATTGTAGACTCCAATATTGAAAAAGAGAAGAACAGGACATCTTTCCTTGAACACCAAAATATTAAAAAAAAAATCTGAAGAACAGTGAACAGAGGAGATGATGTGGGTTCAGGATTACCAATCCAAAATGGATCGCCCAACCCCATTGCCCTTCAAATCCAAGGCTGAATTTGACACAACATTCATGAATCATCTCTTCTAGTAAATTACAGAACCCAGTGTCATCCTCTTAAGCATAAAGACAATATGTAAGCCCAGGTACAATTGGATTACAATGCTAAAAGTATTAGAAAAGGGAAATAATGAAAAACAGTAGTAGGTCAAGGAGTAACAAAATTACATGAATAAAAAAAATTAACAACACAGAATTATCCCTAATGCTAATACTCAATAAGTGTGCTGAATCTGTTCCCTGATATCGGTTCCAGACTCCAAGTTACTTTATGCCCTCTTCAGCCGAGTGATTAATTTTGTTGTGTACCAGCAAAATGAGGCTATGTAAATAATTATCATATTATTCAATAGGTTTTTGCAAAAAGTTTTCTAAAAAACAACAATAAAATTAAATTACATAAACTGTTTGATGATGTTTTGTCTATACTATGCTCAGCACCCATGTGGTATTGAAGTTACAGAGAGCTCTCTAATTTTCAAAACTGTGTAATAGAATTCTTTGGTTCCTATATACAAGGGGAAACAGACTTGGATTTAAACTTAGCTTCGAAAAAGATATTTCACATGTAAAGATGCCAACAAACTTTTGCATATGTAGAAGGTTGTGAATACTTTGAAATAGAGCAAGCGACTTTGTGAAACATATATTTTTTTTTTTTTTGATAAATGCTTTGTGAAACATATTATTGGAATAGTCTCCTGAATAATCTACTATACAACTATAGAAAGAGAGGGAAATAGAGATTTGTTTTTTTGACAACCTAGTTTTCCTAAATTACTGAAATATTGGAATTTCTATTTTCCTAGTTTGCTTTCCTTAGCATATTTAATTTGATACTCATTTTATTGACTTGGACCGCAAAAAAATGGTATTTAGGCAAAAAAACATAAAATTTATAATGAAATAACCCAACCAATACAAAACAATGCTTCCAAATTAGATTGGGTATGATTGGATCTAGATTGAGATTCCACTCTCCTACAAGATCCAACTATTACAATCGAAAAGTCCTACTTACATGGCATTTTTTAGAAGACCTATAGCGATTCCGGTTTGTAACCCGTCTCTTGTAGGATTCTGGACTCTAGTTGTATGGGTTTGAAAGGTTATTCATGTCTTGTTTTTCTTGTCTCACCTCTATTTTTTGTTATCGGATTGTAATTGTACGTTTGGAAGAGGTTGGTTGCTTTCTTTTCAAAACCTGTGTTGCCCAGATTTTGGTCTCTCTGCTCAAGCGGGCACTCTTGCGCTCAAGCGGGCTTCACAAATTTCGCTCCTCTACTTAAGAGGCCATTCCCATGCTCGAGCGGAATTCTTCAACTCTCAACATTTTTTTTAAGGTCTGTAGATGCTGGAGAGTGCATTCAACGCTCGACCATCCAGTTTCACGCTCGAGCGGGAATTTGTGTCTGACACTCGAGCAGGGATTCTCACGCTCGAGCGGGGACCTTCATCTGCAGAATTTTTGGAAGTGTGTATTTCATGCTCGAGCGACACTTTTCACACTCTAGCGGACTTCTGTGTCTGACACTCGAGTGTCACTTTCCAAGCTCGAGCAGACTGCGTATATAACAGTCCAAGAAGATGAAATCATGAATCTCTCTCTAAAACTTTTCAAAAAGCTTGTTCTTAAGCCTCTCTCTATAGAATCCACCTTCTCTCTAGGATTTCATCTAGATCTGTTGGGATTTCTACCCTAGTGCCTTTGAGAAAAAGGTAGAGCTCGTCAAGATCTTCGTTTTGAACCGAGTAGAAATGTGTTTCGGCATTCTTGGAACTCCACATTTGCTTGACTCGTCTTCTCTCTTTGATGTAGGAATCTTTCTACACCTTCATATGATATTTAGCTTAGTTATTATCGTTTGTGTAACAATGGTGTGATTTGGGGATGTTTAAAACAAATCTAGGGTTTGAAACATAAAATACAAAGAGGGGTTTTGGGTGTAGGTGAAATTAATGTTTGTGGAGTTTGAAAATGATGTTGCACTATGTCTAACTTGATGATTTTGGCACTTGATTAATATTTTGGAGGGGGAGAATTTTCCCTAATTGAATTTAAACTATTATTTTGTACAAAAATTGGAATTGGCATTGGAAATGTGAAATTGATAAGGTGTTGATATAAATGGTGGAATTGGTTATTAAGGTGAAGTTTCCATTCCAACCCCAAAAAATGTTTCAGTGTTCACATCCGAAGCTTGCCCATAAGCCCCCCAATTATAGACTCCAATATTGAGAAGAGAAGAATAGGCAATCCTTCCTTGAACGCCAAAATATTCAAAAAAATCTCAAGAACAATGAACGGAGGAGATGATGTGGGTTCAGGATGACCAATCCAAAATGGTTCACCCAACCACAATGCCATTCCAATCAAAGGCTGAATTAGACACAACATTCATTTCTAATAAATTATAGAACCCAGTCTCATCCTTTTAAGCATAAAGACAATATGACGGCCCAGGTACTACTGGATAGAAATGCTAAAAGTATTAAAAGAGGGAAATAATGAAAAACAATACCAGATCAAGGTGTAACAAAATTATATTAATGTAGTCCCTTAAAAAAGAACTATCAACACAGAATTGAACCATTGTTTACTCTGCAGATTTTCTCTGCCAATCTACATTATCCCTAATGCTAATCCCCGATAAGTGTGCTGAGATTGTTTCCCTGATATCGGTTCCAGCCTCCAAGTCTACTTTTACGCCCTTCTTAAGCCAAGTGATTAATTATGTTGAGTGTACCAGCAAAATGAGGCTATGTAAATAATTATCATATTATTCAACAGCTTTTTGCAAAAAAAAATTCCTAAAAATAACAATAAATTTCAAGTACATAAACTGTTTAGTGATGTTTGTCTATACTATGCTAAGCACCCATGTGGCATTGAAATTACAGAGCGCTCTCTAATTTTCAAAACTGTGTAATTGAATTCTTTGGTTCCTATAAAGCGACAAACAGACTTGGATTTAAACTTAGTACCGAAAAAGATGTTTCACATGTAAAGGTGCCAACACACTTTTTGCATAAGTAGAAAGTTGGGAATACTTTAAGACAGAGTAAGCCACTTTGTGAAACATATTATTGGAAAGGTCTCCTGAATAATCTACTATGCAACTATAGAAAGAGAGGGAAATAGAGATTTGTTTTTTCAGCTAGTTAGTTTTCCTAATTACTTTAATATTTGAATTTCTATTTTCCTAGTTTGTTTTCCTTAGCATATATTAATTGATATGACTTACTTTATTGATTTGGAACACAGAAAATTGGTATTTAGGCAACAAACATAAAATTTACCATAAAATAGCCCAACCAATACAAAACAGTGCTTCCAAATTGGATCAGTACGATCAGATCTAGATTCAGGTTCCGCTATCCTATAATTAGGATCGAAAGGTCCCTACTTACGTGGGATTTTTTACAGACCAATTTGGCCCAAATGGATCGTAAGATCTGGATTAGGATTCTAATAGCTATGGTGAGGGGTTTCCCAAATGAAACCGCGTAACCTAGGCACAACTATTACTTAAAAAGGAATGGATAATTAACTTATCAGTAAGAAAATTCAAAATGGAAGGCATCAAAAGGGGATGTAGCCCTCTCACAAAAAGATTAAACCATGTTAACCTAAAGTTCACAAGCATCGAGTAATAAAATTCAATACTTCAATTTAAGAAAGCCTTATGGAAGTGCCTCCCATTAGCTTTTGATTGATTTTCGAGGTTTTGGCTGTTAAAAAAAAGGTAATAAGTGTTGTGGGACAGCTTCTTTTGTGCAATTCTTTGGGTTATTTGGTTGGAGTGAAATGCTAGAATTTATTAGGACAAGACAAAGAATGTTAATGTGTGGGAGAGTCTACCGTTTTTTTGCGCCTCGGTTTAGTCTCATACCATCTTCGAATTAAAGCACTGTTTACTTTTCTTCTCATTTTTGGAGGACTTCATAACCTTCGGCTCTCTAGTAACCCTTTCTGTTTTAAAATTATCCACTTCTTGTTGCAAATCAAAAACATAATAATAAAATGTAAAATCAACCTGAATAATAAATTTTATTTCCTTCAAGTGTGGCTTTTATATTTATAGGAAAAAACTAATTCCAAAAAACAAACATGATATATTCAACAATATGTGAGGATCCAACACAACAGAGAAACTAGTACTCACCCTTGTTGAAGTCGGGACAACCTTCAGGCCTCTGTTCCAAATACACATCACAATGGCTCAATTTATTGGTCTTGCACTGCCCAGTAGAAAAAAAGAAAAATATACCTCATAAGTAAGACTTATCATTCAACCATGCCTACTAATCTGGATACAAAATAATCTCTCACAAAAAAAATCAGTAAGAACATTACTTCCCACTGAGCACTACCAATCCTTCAAAAAACTGGCAATACGTTATATATCATTTGTTTAACTATTTTAAATGCTTCTATAAAATGGAAAAAGTGTACCACTTTGTAGAGCCCCACAAGACGCTCGCATTCTTCACGCTTCGTTAACAGTTCATAATCATAGTTTTCACCAAAAAGCTTGAAGAAGCTTATGACTGCAGTCTCGAACCAATCTTTTGCAGGTACATGGAAAATGAAAGAAAGTGTCAATTGAGCTAGTGTCTTTACTTCCCTCAACAGTGAACACTAACTTATGAAAAACTTACGTCTGCTAGATTATTGGAACAAATATTCAAAGCCAATTTATTGATTATTTGTTAATTTTATTAAATTTTCTAATTGCTTTAGATAGTTATTATGAAGTAAAAGTAAAATTTAACCAAACCAAACCTCCAAGTTGTCCAATTTCCGTGCAAAGTGGTCCTATACCCCATTTAATTACAATAATAATCAAACTAAAAAGTTTAACTCCTGCTTCCATCAAGGGTATTTTTTTCATTCAAATTTTGCCATAAGGAGTTGTTTTTACAAGTAACATAGATGAATGTGCAGTGGAAGAAATAATACCAATTAGTCAAGGACTCAAAATAAGATATAGAATAGAAGAGTTCAATAAAATAAATTGATATGAAAATATGGTAGATATACTTACCATAATCCCTCCTGGAACTTGAAGAAGTCCCAAAAGACGTTCTTGCCAATTGACACAAACCAAATCAAACAATTATAGAAATAAATGAAAATCAACAACCATATAAATTAGTCCCCAATATATATAATGCTTGCATTTGAGCCCACGTGATGCGGGTGCTATTATTTTTTGAAATCAAGAAGAGATTTGATGGTTGACACTGTAAAGAGTTTTCTATTTTGAACATGGGTATTGGCTTGCCATTACATATTTGTCCCTTTCTATGGTAAAGAAACACAAATCAGTCTCATTGCCAATAATACATAATGAAGTTCAAGAGAGTTTTATACTATTAGGGTTAGGGGAACTGATGGTTTAGATGACAGATGTGGAGCTCATATGGCTCTGATAAGTGATGGAGCATTATATGCACAGGTAGGAAAGGACCAGGGCTTCTGACAAAGGAAAGTTTCGCTGATATATATATATATATATATATATAAACAAACACAGATTTTATGACAAGAATGTCAGACTTTTACCCTTTGGATTAGACACCCGTAAAGTCTGCAAAAACTCTTCTGCAAAAGTGACACCAAGAAACAACATAATTTAAATTCAAATAAATAAAACAAGATACCAGAGAGAGTGAGAGAGAGAGAGAGAGAATAAAAAGCAATTATTAGCCTTCAAACTGACCCAAAGTGAAATAATAAGCAGCAAAATTCTTGACTAAGCATCATTGAGGTTAACTATAGACATTATACATATAACAAATACGAGGTGATGAGGTGAAGTTTCCATTCCATCCCCAAAAATGTTTCAGTGTACACATCCGAAGCTTGGCCATAAGCCCAATTGTAGACTTCAATACTGAAAAAGAAAAGAATAGGAAAGGCAATCCTTCCTTGAATGCCAAAATATTAAAAAAAATATGAAGAACAGTGAACGGAGGAGATGAAGTGGGTTCAAGATGACCAATCCAAAATGGATTACCCAACCCCATTGCCATTCCTATCCAAGGCTGAATTTTTTTTTTTTTTTTTTTTTTTTGATTGGTACCGGGGTGTCCGGATCAAAGCCCAACTAATCTCCAAGGGTGCACAAGCCCTTGGTAAGGAGTTTCCTGCACCACGGTTAATTCAAGGGTTCTCTCCCAGTCCGATGGCCCTAAGGAATTGTTAGCACCTAAGAGGTTTCAATCCCTAAACCTTAAAGGAAACACACCCCCAAGACTCGAGGCCTTTCCACCAGGCCATCCCCTTAGGGTTCAATACAAAGCTGAATTTGACACAACATTCATGTCTTCTAATAAATTACAGAACACCGCGTCATCCTCTTAAGCATAAAGACAATATGTCAGGCCAAGTACTATTGGATAGCAATGCTAAAATTATTAAAAAAGGGAAATAATGAAAAACAATAATAGGTCAAGGAGTAACAAAATTTTATGAGTATAGTCAATTAAAAAAAAATATCAACATAGAATTGGATCATAGTTTACTCTGCAGATTTTCTCTGCCAGTCTGTATGGCGCCTTCTACAAATCTACATTATCCCTAATGCTAATCCCCAATAAGTGTGCTGAAATTGTTTACCTGATATCTGTTCAACCCTCCAAGTCTACTTTTACGCCCTTCTTTAATTTTGTTGAGTGTACCAGCAAAATAAGGCTATGTAAATAATTATCATATTGTTCAATAGCTTTTTGCAAAAAGTTTTCTTAAAATAACAATGAACTTAAATTACATAAACTGTTTGCTGATGTTTGTCTATACTATGCTCAACACCCATGTGGTATTGAAATTACACGGAGCTCTCTAATTTTCAAAACTGTGTAATTGAATTCTTTGGTTCCTATATACAGGGGGTAAACAGTCTTGGATTTAAACTTAGCTTCGAAAAAGATGTTTCACATGTAAAGGTGCCAACACACTTTTTGCATATGTAGAAAGTTGTAAATACTTTAAAACAGAGTAAGTGTTACAGGGTCAATTTTTGTTTCAAAATTCCAGCCTGCAATGGCACTAAGTTGGACACTTAGCCTCAGCCAAGTATGAATACACACACACACAAAGTGCTATAACAAGAGAATAGGCAACAAGAGATTACAGGAAAACCCCAACCTTTATTAATTGCACCAACAATACAAAGGATGCCTATGAAAATTCTTACCAACACTTAGTTAATTTTCGAGTTCCATGGCTATGCCTAAATAGGCTTACAATCAGTTACAAACTTTACAACCAGCATTACAAGGAAAGCATGCCAAGTGGCATGGCAGTTGACACTCCCAACTGCCTAGGGACTTAGGATCATTTCTTAGACATAACTGCCAGTAACAGCTGCTAACTCCCTACCTTGATTCCAGATGTCCAAACTTGCCTTGTCTTTTGCTCAACATGGGTAACTGCTGCCAGACAAGCATAATTGCTTTGAACTGCCCATGTTGTTTGCCTTCTCAGTCAGCCACGAATTTGGTTGTCTTGGCCCCCTGACCAAGTTTTGCCTACTGAATGCTTTGAACCCCCAAGTATGCTACAACCCACATTCGGGTCATGTTAATGCCTTGCATTTGTGCCACTGCTGCCCATACTTTGGCCAAAGGTCCTGTGCTGCTACCTCAGCACTTTGTCAATGTTTCACCTTGCTGTTTTGGCATGCCACCATCATGCCGTGGTCTTGGTTGGACATTGGTGCAAGGTGCTGCCAATGCCAACCATGCAGCCTTCAAGTAGAAGGTGCTAACAAACCACCCCCACCAGAAGAAGCCAACGTCCTCGTTGGTAGGGTCTTCAAGTTCTCCTGGACTTGTTTTTCAAATTGCCACAATGTTATATCATTTTCCCAACTTGCATCTGATTCAGAGGAACCCTTCCACTTTACTAAGTAATGGGTCCTTCGATTCTTTTTGCTTTGACACTCGGTCTTGTGATCAAGAATCTGTTCCACCTCCTTGTCAAATTGTTTTCTGATCACCGGGGGTGCTCTCCGAGCTTGTTTCCTTATCAAGTTTGTTTGATCATCATGAAATGGTTTCAAAAAACTGACATGGAAAGTTGGGTGGATTTTCAACCAATCAGGCAGCACTAGCCTGTATGTAACATTGCCCACGCGTTTTAAGACTTCAAAGAGGCCATCATATTTCAGAATTAAGCCACGGTGCATTGTCTTACTGCTTATCTTCTTCCAGATCTGTGGAGTAAGCTTCAATAGCACTTTGTCACCCACTTTGAACTCTAAGGGTCTTCGCCCTTTGTCAGCATACTTCTTCATACGCTTGCTTGCTTTGGCCAAACTGTCTTGTGCTTCTTCCAGCAATTCTTGTTTGGTCCTTGCAAAGCGGTATGCTGCTGGACATCTACCACCAGAGCCTGTTTTAGCCACTTCGTGAGGAGTTAGGGGTTGCTGCCCCGTGGCCAATTCAAACGGGCTCATCCCGGTTACAGATGATCTATGCAGATTGTAGCAAAATTGTGCGCTGTCCAACAATTCAACCCAATTCTTTTGACTTGCGGTCACATAATGTCGGAGATACTCCTCTAGCAATCCATTCATCCTCTCGGTTTGACCATCCGTCTGAGGGTGATTTGCTGTGGAGAACTTTAAGTCGGAACCCAGCAAATTAAAGAGCACAGTTCAAAACCTTCCCGTAAACCGGGTACCCTGTCGCTTATTATGTCCTCAGGGAAGCCAAAGTATTTTACAACATTCTTATGGAATAAATCAGCAGCAACATCTGCGGGACAAGCATGAGGAGCAAGGATAAAAACAGCATACTTAGAGAAACGGTCAACAATTACCATGATGGAGCGCATCCCATTGACTTTGGGAAATCTGGAGATAAAGTTCATGGATATGGAAACCCAAGGCTTCTCAGGGACAGGTAGTGGTTATAATAACCCAGCTGCCTTCTTTCTTTCGGTCTTGTCCAATTGGCACACCATGCATGTTTTGACATAAGCCTCTACGTCTTCTTCCATTTTCGGCCAAACATATGAGCGCGACAAAAGAGCCATCATGCGTTGTTGCCCCGGATGACCACTGCGGGTCATGTGTTTCTCTAAGAAGTTCCATTCGTAGTCCCCCAACACTTGGGACATAGCCTATCTCTTTTGCCATGGAGAAGACCATTTTCAAGCCAATACCGACGAGCAATTCCATCCTTTACTTGCTGGACCAACCGTTGATATTCTGAGTCAATGGCAGTACTATCCCTGATCCTTTCCAGCAATTGTGATTCAATGTTGGAGATAGCAGCCACATATTCAATTATCTCTTTCCGGCTTAAGGCATCAGCGACTAGGTTATGTCGTCCAGGCTTGTGTCGCCATTCAAAGTCATACTCTTCAAGGAATTCCTACCAACAAGCCTACCTTGGAGACAACTTTTTCTGAGTTTTGAAGAATGTATTAGCCACATTATTAGTAAGAACCAAAAACTTCGATCCCAACAGATAGACCCTCCAGGTGAGTAGGCAATGCACAACTGCCATCATTTCCTTCTCATGGGCTGAATAATTCTTCTCAGCAGCGTTTAGTTTCCTGCTTTCAAAGGCCACCAGGTGTCCTTCCTGCACCAGTACTCCTCCAAGTGCTTTGTCTGAGGCATCCGTGTGTACTTCGAAAGGCAACTCGAAACTAGGCAGTCGCAAGACCGGTTCACTTGCCACTGCACTTTTCAGTTTGTCAAAGGCCTCTTGACAATTAATGGACCAATGTCATTTGTGGTCTTTCTTCAACAAATCAGTGAGGGGAGCAGCCTTCTTTGAATATCCCTCAATGAATTTCCGATAGTAGTTTGCCAAGCCTAAGAAGGATCGCAACTCCGCAACATTGTTGGGTGAAGACCATTCCATGATAGCCTGCACCTTCCTTCCATCCATTTTGACATGGCCTTGGCAAATGATATGCCCAAGAAACTTAATTTCCCGCTGGGCAAACTCACATTTTTCCTTCTTGACATACAACTAGTGTTCTTGTAACCGAGTGAACACCATCCGAAGGTGGCAGAAGTGATCCTCTAGGGACTCACTATATATTACAATATCATCCAAATAAACAACAAACTGATCGACATAGTCATTGAACACATCATTCATAAGATTACAGAATGTAGCCGGGGCATTAGTTAACCCAAACGGCATTACAAGGAACTCAAAAGACCCATACCTCGTAACACATGATGAGTCACTCGGACTTGCCAATAGCTAGCACGTAAATCCAATTTTGTGAAGTAAGTGGCTTTGCACAATTGATCAAATAGGTCTGCCACCAAAGGGACTGGATACTTGTTCTTTATCGTCACTTTGTTGAGAGCCCGGTAATCCACACACATGCGCAAACTTCCATCTTGCTTCTTTTGAAAAAGCACTGGGGCACCGAAAGGGGCTTTGGATGGCTGAACCAGTCCAGCATCCAATAAGTCCGTCAATTGCCTTCGCAACTCCGAAAGTTCCATTGGGGACATTCTGTAGGGTGCCTTCGCTGGAGGCTTAGCACCCGGAATCAACTCTTTTTTATGATCAGTGGCACGCCGAGGAGGAAGGGACTTTGGCAACTCCGGAGGCATCACATCCTCAAATTCCCTCAACACTTCTGCCACTTCATCCGGCACTTCTACTG